TCAAGTGTGAATGGAGCCTTAGAGAAGGAGAAGCAGGAAATCGCATAAAAAACATTTTTTGCAGGCATTTTTTTCATGTGCTCCTATTCAGGTCTACAGGGTCTCTGCCACAAAGAAGCTCATGTACTTTTTTGAGTGACAAGCTTCCAGCAACACAATGCTCAGGTGTGATTGGCACCATTGAATATAAGAATCTTAAAGTCGAGTGTTGAAGCTCTTCAAAAACATGCTTTAAATTGTTCAGAGGTGACCTGAACCAAAGGGTTGGGGGCAGTTTTGTTGTGGTGATGTGCCCTAGATCCCTACCCTGGGTAAATCACAACCCCCTTCTATCACTCACTGCTACTACCCTCTAGCTGATCGCTGGAATGGGAAAGTACTTTCAGGTCTTGATCCTTCCTCTTTTTCTTCTGCGCAGTTCTTCAGGTGTCTACATCACTGCCTGTGCGATGTGGACACTTCTCATTGGCTGTCCAGTGGTGGGTCCTCACAGGAACCATAAGAGGAGTGACGACATTATGCGTGACCGTAGAGTACTGGGACAGCAAGGGATACGTTGCAGCAGCAGCAAATGGTGCTGGTGAGGGACCCAGATGGCAGACTTAGGTGAGTAAATCCTCCTTCAACAGGTAAAGCTGCTTTCCCACTGAGCTTTTTTTCCTTCGTTTTTGTGTTTAACTGCTTGCAGCAGTACTGGTACAGGGCAGCAGGGCTGTGCAAAATCGTTTGTGTGTTTTTTAGTAGTATCTCACAGAAGTGAGTACACCCCTCACATTTCTGAGCACATGCACTCAACTTCTTTGGTCGACCATGGTGAGGCCTGTTCTGAGTAGAACCTGTCCTATTAACCACTTGCCTACCAGGCACTTATACCCCCTTCCTTACCAGGCCAATTTTCAGCTTTCAGCGCTGCTGCCGCACTTTGATTGACAATTGCGCCGTCATGCAACATTGTACCCATATGAAATTTTGATAATTTTTTTCTCACAAAATAGAGCTTTCTTTTGGTGGTATTTAATCGCCACTGGGCGCTTTACTTTTTGCGCTATAAATTAAAAAAAGTGCAAAAAATTTGAAAAAAAAAAAAAAAGTTTATTTGTTTCTTTTATAAAATTTTTCAAACAGGTATTTTTTCTTCTTCACTGATTTGCGTTGATGAGGCGGCACTGATGGGCACTGATAGGCGGCACTGATGGGCACTGATAGGCAGCACTAAAGGGCACTGATAGGCAGTACTAATGAGGTGGCACGGATAGGCGGCACTGATAGACAGCACTAATTAGGGGTCACGGATAGGCGGCACTGATATGCAGCACTGATAGGCGGCACTGATAGGTGACACTGATTATGGGTACTGATAGACGGCACTGACTGGCATCACTTCTGGGCACTGACTGGCGGCACTGACTGGCACAACCCTGGGCACTGACTGGTGGCACTGACTGGCAGCACTGCTGGGCTGCACTGGTGGGCGGCACTGGTGGGCACCACTGGTGGGTGGGCACAGGTAGGTGGCACTGGTGGGCACAGGTGGGTGGCACTGGTGGGCACAGGTGGGTGGGCACAGGTGGGTGGCACTGCTGGCACATGTAGGTGGCACTTCTGGGCACAGGTAGGTGGCACTGCAGAGTGGCACAGGTGGGGGCACTGCTGGGCACAGGTGGGGGCACTGCTGGGCACAGGTGGGGGCACTGCTGGGAACGGGTGGGCGGGGCTAGTGGGCGCACTGCTGGGAGGAACTTGCGGGGGTCACTGCTGGGCACCGATCATCAGGGCACTGATCATCAGTGCCCTGATGATCGGTGCCGATCCCCGCTCTGACAACTGCCGGTTCTCGGCAGTACTTTCCTCACGATCTGACAGCGTGAGGAAAGTGCAGCCGAGAACCGGCACTTGCATTTTCCTGTGATCAGCGTGTCATTGGACACCGCTGATCACGTGGTAAAAGGCCGGTGGGATCGGCCTTTCACCACATCTCGTGATCAGCTGTGTCCGTAGGACACAGCGATCACGGAGATCGCCGGGTGCGCGCCCCCTGGGGCGCGCAGGAGAGCGCGTTCTGGGAGGACGTCATATGACGTCCACCCAGAACTAGCCGGCCGCGGTGCAGCTGTCATTCGGCTATGCGCGGTCGGCAAGTGGTTAAACTGCTGTATAGTCTTGGCCACCGTGCTGCAGCTCAGTTTCAGGGTCTTGGCAATCTTCTTATAGCCTAGGCCAGTGGTCGGCAAGCCGCGGCTCGCGAGCCACATGCGATTCTTTACAAACTTTAATGCGGCTCTTCTGTGTGCCGGGCGGCCGCCCGAGAGGACTCTGCAGCTAGCCCAGCAATGGGCAAACTTCGGCCCGGCGGACCATTTAATCCGGCCCGCGGAGCGTGGCAAACATTGGCTGTCAGGATGTAGGCGGGGCAGCGTGACGAACTCCTCTCCTCTCACAGTCTGCCCTGAAGACCAGAACGGCGCGGGAACACAGCGGGAGGAACGCGCGGAGCAAAAGGTAAGTGAATTGACACAATATGGGGAATGAATTACTATAGGGGGGATGAATTACTATAGGGGGGATGAATTACTATATTGGGGATGAATTACTATATTGGGGATGAATTACTATATTGGGGATGAATTACTATGGGGGATGAATTACTATAGGGGGGATGAATTACTATAGGGGGGATGAATTACTATAGGGGGGATGAATTACTATGGGGGGATGAATTACTATAGGGGGGATGAATTACTATAGGGGGGATGAATTACTATAGGGGGGATGAATTACTATAGGGGGGATGAATTACTATAGGGGGGGGATGAATTACTATAGGGGGGATGAATTACTATATGGGGGATGAATTACTATATGGGGGATGTATTTTCAGTTTTAAAAATGTGGCTCTCAAAATAAATTTCAATCGTGGTTTTGGCGAGATTTGGCTCAGTTGAAAAAAATGGTTGCCCACCACTGGCCTAGGCCATCTTTATGTAGAGCAACAATTCTTTTTTTCATTTTCTTTTGTTCCTTAGATAAATCTTTGCCATGAGGTGCCATGTTTAACTTCCAGTGACCAGCATGAGAGAGTGAGAGTGATAACACCAAATTTAACACACCTGCTCCCCATTCACAACTGAGACCTTGTAACACCAACAAGTCACATGACACGGGGAGGGAAAATGGCTAATTGGGCCCAATATTTACATATTCACTTAGGGGTGTACTCACTTTTGTTTCCAGAGGTTTAGACATTAATGGCTGTGTGTTGAGTTATTATGAGGGGACAGCAAATTGACACTGTTTTACAAGCTGTACACTCACTACTTTACATTGTAGCAAAGTGTCATTTCTTCAGTGTTGTCACATGAAAAGATATAATAAAATATTTACGTGTGTGTCATGGGTAAACAACATTTCTCTCCTCTCATGGATATGCTGCTTTGTTTTTCTCTGCACAGCAGAGATATACAAAGCCCCATGTCTCCCTAGTAAAACAAAGCACATAGAGCTGATCGCCCCAGATGTTAACCCCTTCCTACCCAATGTCATTAGTACAGTCAGTGCTTTTTATTCACACTGATCACTGTATTGGTGTCACTGGGGATGTCAGTGGCAGTCAGTTCCCACTCAGTGTCAGAATGCCTGCCGCAGTGTCGCTATAAGTTGCTGATTGCCGCCATTACTAGTATAAAAAAAACATTCCAGTATACTGTATATACTGCCATTTCTAGACACTATAACTTTTACATAAAGCAATTTACATGTAATGGGATTTTTTTTTAGCAGACATGTAGAAGAATACGTTTTGGCCTAAATTATGAAGAATTTAGATTTTTTTAAAAAAAATTTTTATTGGATTTGTTTTATAGCAAAAAGTAAAAAATATTGATTTTATTTTTTATTCAAAATTCAGTCTTTTTTTTTTTTTGTTTATAGCGCAACAATTAAACCTTGGAGGTGATCAAATACCACTGAAAGAAAGCTCTATTTGTGGGGGAAAAAAGGACCTAAATTTAATTTTATGTTCAGCGTTGCATGACCACACAATTGTCAGTTAAAGTAACGCAGCGCCGTATCACAAAAAATGGCCTGGTCAGGAAGGGGGTACCGGTAAATCCTCTGGACGGCAAGTGGTTACAATAGCAGCCGAAAAAATGCATGACCACTAAATCCCATGGAACATTTAACACTGATCAGTTGCAGTTTCATTGCATTTTCCTGCTTGGTGCATGTTTGGAGCAGTAAAAAAAACTACATAAAAAAAACGCAAATCCTTATTGAAATGAATGGAAAATGTGGCAAAAACGCATCAAAAATGTACCTGTGGTTATGTTTTTATTGCGGTTTTTTTTAGTCACGTATCATTTTTTCACAGGTGAAAAACATACTAGAAACACATTTATGTTTTTACCATGTTTTTTGCAAAGGAGCAGTGTGAAAGTAGCCTAAAACAAAGAAATAGCCTTACGTGATGGGTTAGAGGGGGTTGGGAAAGAGGGACAGAAAGATTTCTGTTGTTGCCTGGATTTGGGCGTTAAAGTCATATTAAAGGCCCCATTTTTTAAATAACTATGTTGCTCAACATGTATTACCCTGACCACAAAGTTACAAAATCTGCTGAATATCTGGCCAAAATTCTTCCATTGCTTAGTAAGCACTAAACTTTTGGATAGGTGAGCACATGCCCAAAGTATGTCTCATCCATTGGTCAGAAGGGATAGCACAAGTTCAGGGGGAGCAGGGAGTGGCTTCCTGACAGTCTGTCTTTCTATGGGTGCACATAGAAAGCTGGGAGCTTGCACATAAACATGGCTGCATGGGGCCCCTGTAAGGGGATGGGACCACCTGATACCCAGCCCCAGCGAAAAAAAAAAGAATTTGAGTACAACATGGGCTGATAGAAGAAAGGAAGTTTGCAATTGGACCATGTGACATATATATAGTATAAGGCAGGGCTTAAAATTTCAAGTCCTGAGCTACTAGCCAGGCCTTAGAGTTACTCGCCACCAACAAACACAAACGGAGACACCTGTACACACACACAGACATGTACGTACACACAGAAACATGTACACACGCACAGAGACACATGTACACACACGCACATACAGACACATGTACTGTATACACACACACAGGCACGTACAGACATGCATACACACAGATACATGTACATACACAGAAATACACACGTACATACATACACAGACACATGTACACACACACATGTACATACATACACAAAACACATGTATATGTACACACACACACATATATGTACATACATGCAGACACATGTACAGATACACACATGTACATACACAGACACATATACAAGTGTACATGCATACACAGACACACACAAACACACACACCCCCCATAAAAAGTTGCAGTACTTCGTTGTTCACTCACAGATCCGGGTACTGCACTCTAGGGGGAGGCAGAGAGCACAGCACACACTCCTTCCTTTGCTTTCACTGCGTTCAGCTATTGAGCAGTCTGACGGCTCCCAGTGCCAATGACAGATCCGGCCTGAGCTCCGAGCCTGCTCAGCAAGACGGCCCTGGGGGACACATTCGCCCCCTCCATAATTTCGACTCGCCATTGGCGAGCAGAAATTTCAAGCCCTGGTATAAGGCTTTATTGTAAAGTATAAAATATATAAATATACAAAATGCAAGTGCATAAAAAACACTAACCACCACTGCAGCTGTTCAACAAGCCCACATGGTCACACACATCTTACACTGCCTGCTGGCTCTAATAAGCACAGAATGTGTCTTAATAAGACCTGGTGGAGGCAGCCTGTCTACTGGGGCAAAATTGAAGTCCAAAATCAGATGGGTGATCAAATAACATATAACGCTCCCGTGCCAGGCAGTGTCCGCTTGGGTCTCAGCCAAGGGGTGACCTATTACCCAATAAATGTGGAGCAGGCCAATAATACAAGAGCTCATTACAGTTGGATGGCTGATTCACTCCATCAAGTCCATTAATTTGTGGAAAATAGACTAGTCCAAAAGGTAATGAAAGGTTATAAGTCCACTATGCAGTAGAATGGTACCGAGTGTGTAGCAGTAACAATGCTGGGATTCCCCCAAAATGATGTGTACCAGGGAGAACTTTTAACCTGGCTATATATTATGGGGTCCAGCCTGCAGTTCACTCAGACCTATAGAGTCCAGTCACCTTCCATCAGTTCTAGAGGAGGAATGCAGAAATGTTTTAATACTTCAACAGCCCACCAGGTAGAAGTATAGAGTGTGGCTGTTGTTGCCAGGGCCTTTCGTCTAATGCCTTGAGATTTCGAGCAGTGGGCATATCCATAGAGTGTGCTAGCCAGGGTGGCTGCTGTGCGTAGTGACGTCTGTCATTTGCATGATGACATGAACTTCGACACGTTTCGCCAAATCAGATCGGGCTTCTTCAGGGATAGGAGGGGTCAGTATGTGTGATGCTCTTATATGCTGTAGACTGTCGATACCTCCTTCTACCACATGGTGTCACCCTACCACTTGCTACATTTACACTCACTGGCCAATTTATTAGGTACACCTTGCTAGTACCGGATTGGACCCCCTTTTGCCTTCAGAACTGCCTTCATTCTTTGTGGCATGGATTGTACAAGATGTTGGAAACGTTCCTCAGAGATTCTGGTCTATATTGACGTGAGTTACTGTTGCCTTTCTATCATCTCCAACCAGTCTGCCCATTCTCCTCTGACATCAACAAGGCATTTTTGTCCACACAACTGCCACTCGCTGGATATTTTCTCTTTTTTGGACCATTCTCTGTAAACCCTTAAGATGGTTGTGCATGAAAATCCCAGTAGATCAGCAGTTTTTGAAATACACAGACCAGCCCATCTGGCACCAACAACCATGCCATGTTCAAAATCACTCAAATCCCCTTTCTTTCCCATTCTGATGCTTGATTTGAACTTCAGCAAGTCATCTTCACCATGTCTATATGCCTAAATGCGTTGAGTTGCTGCCATGTGATTGGCTGATTAGCAATTATTGTTGAATGCATTTGAACAGGTATAGCTAATGTGATCGGTGAGTGTACATTCACACAGAATGAGCTGCACAACGTGTCCAAAACGGGGAAGAAGATTGACCATAAAGAAAAATAACAGCACACGGCAAAAATTCAAGTAACTAAAGCTAGATAGATAAGAATTCACATAGTAGGAACCTAATAATTTAATGAGAGGGAAATGGCTCAATGTCATCCACCCGCCCATTAAATCCCAAACAAGGGAACAATGGGGAGCTAATAGATGACTAGAATCATTTACACTTTCAGTGAAAGCAGAAGTCATGTAGACAGCTAAGTTTAGAGACAAGAATACTGGAACTAGGGGGGGGCAATATCATGGACCATGTTCAGCAGCACCTTGACTCAAGAAACACGTGTAGATTGCACTCGGTATTTAATCCATAAGGGGCGAGTGTACCCAGTTTAAAGGTCCACATTTTTTCTTTTTTGCAAAACGATCGTGTTAAAATCAGCTCTACATAATGGTATATTGAGAACAGATCACCTTCACTTGCATTCCCTGTGGTTTCCCATTGTGGTGCTGAACATGTAATGCCAATGGGCTCTCATCATCCTTCTTTTTAATACTGCTAACATGTTCAGCAATGCATAAACACAGTTGCTGCTTAGTCTTCCCAAAATAGTACTTGTTCCAGGGGAATTCCAGTATATAGATTAAGTGGGAAGTGGAGTAATTTTATAAATCGGTCCACACTGGTGGTCCACATAGTTTACACAAATGCAGTGCTTCCATGTACAGTAAAGAAAATACAGCATGCTGCACTTTTCTACACTGGAATGCATCAAAAACATGCATGAACACACCACAAACGCACATAAGCATGTGCAATGCACTGCCAATGCACATAAATACATACAAATGAGTGTACATGCAACTTGGTAAAGAAAATAAATTGCAATAAGTGACAAAAAGTATTTTTAAAAAAATGCACTGTAAATGCTTGCATACACACAGTGAACAGAGATTGTGTTGTAAATGAGCCCTAACACAACATCCTGAGTAACCTGCATTACCGTATGGGAAAGGTGTAAACTTGCCCTAAGTTCAACCACCCGGAAAATCCTATGTAAACTATGAGTTCCTAGAATCGTACCTTACAGGCTTATTGACTCCCTTTGTGACCATGCTGATTGGCTCATGCAGTGTTTTACCAAGTGAAATAATTCTTCAGCAGTGGGTACAGGCCCCTTTAATTCCTTTTCCAACAATCCTCTGAGCTCCCACAATCCCTAGGACTTCTGGACACACCCAGGGGATACTCTGCTCATAGAAACCATGCCTGAAGGGACAGCAGTGACTGGGTATGGTAGTTGTCACCAGGTGTTGGGTTCTTCTTCATTGTTCCCAATGGTTCTGTATCCCTAAACATTCAGAGCAGAGACTATTTCTGCCTCTCCTCTGTGGAGCCTGTCTATAGATCCCAGCAGTCAACAGCCTGGCCCACCGCTAGAGACAGATTCCTTGTGAGAGAGATGTTACCCCCCCCAGGAACGTCAAATTACAGTTTGTGCTAGACTTGCTGTTTATTTCTAATGATTTACATTAGTGCTCCACCACAAGTAGTCTGCAAGTGCTCTTTCCCTCAGCCTTCCTTTCTTTATTTCTCCTTACTCTCCAACATGCTCTTACAAACTTTTTTTTGCTATAATGCCCTCTCTCTTCTTTACTCCTCCCCACCCCACATCCTGTACATATCACCCTCGCTTTTGCCCTCTCAATATTATTGCACTTCTCATCTGCTGTCTCTTAGCCCACATAATGTCACTGCTCCAAAATCACTGCGGCATTTGCCCTTTTATAAATTCCACTCCCACCTCACCCTCCTCCTCCTCCTCCTCATACTACTACTACTACTAACCTCCAGAGACATTGCCCTAAACCCTAGCCCTCCACCATCAAACTCCCACCCACAGAACCAGCAGTCTCCCTTCTCTGGCAGCAGCTGCAACCCTCACTCTCTTATGGCAATTCCCTTTCTTCCACATGCTGGCCAATCCTTCTTATGCAACCTCTGGAATGCCGGCTCAGTCTCTAACAAACTTTCCTCTATCAATGACCTCTTCCTCTCCCACTCCCTCAACCTACTTGCTATTACCGAAACCTGGCTCCAGGAATCTGATTCCTCAGCTGCACTCTCCCATGGTGACCTCCTCTGGACTCACTCCCCCAGACCCAGTGGACAAAAAGGGGGCTGAGATGGGTTTCTTCTTTCCCCACAAACCACATTCCAGGTTCTTCCTACACCTCACTCTATCCATCTGCCTTTTGTATTCATCTTTTTTTTTTTCTCCTGTTTGAGGATCGCAGTCCTCTACCAGCTTTCTTCATGACTTCTCTGTATGGATACCCTACTTTCTCGCCTCTGAGGTGCCTGCCATCGTCCTTGGTGACTTGAATATTCCAGTCAATGTTAACACCTCTGCCACTTCTCAACTACTCAACCTAATCTCCTCTTTTACCCTAACACAATGGACGCAAACCACCACCCATGCTAATAGAAACACCCTCAACCTTGTATTCTCCCCCCATGCACTCCCTGTAGTCTCTGTAACACCCCTTTTCCTCTCTTTGATCACAACTTTATCAGCTCCTTGTCTCCTACCTCCCATGCCTCCAACCAGCAAACAGTTACCCGTAGAAACCTCCACCAGCTCAGCCCTTCTCTTCTTAACTCTGCTACTGAGTTCATTTATGATAAAACTGCACCCCTGTCCTACCCAGATGTGGCAACATCTGCCTACAACAACTTACTATCATCCTCTCTGGATGCACTTGCTCCTCTCTACATGCAGAATCAGGCCTTGCCTGTCACAACCCTGGCAAACGGATGACACCAGAAGTCTCAGGAGATGCAGCCGTGCTCTTGAGTGAGTATGGCGTGAAACTAAATCCCTGCAAGACTTCACCCTCTACAAATCCACCCTTCTCAAATACAACTCCAGCCTGCACGCTGCTAAAGAAACCTACTGCAAGACTCTCATCAAAACCCCCTCATCCGATCCTCGTCAACTCTTTTTACCCTTAATTCCTTACTCCATCCCCCACTGCCTCCACCCACCAACTTACTGGACAGGACTTTGACAGTCATTTCAAGAACCAGATCGACACATTTCATGATATCTTCGGTATCAAGCTCCTCCAACCAACATACCAGGCCCAACACCACACTCAGTAGTTTCCTCATTCGACCCTGTTACCACCGAGGAAGTTGCAAACTCCTTTCCAAGGCTCCTCACCACCTGTCCCCTGGACCCTGTCTCCTCACGATTATTGTTGCCTCCTTCCTGCTTTGTCCTAAACTCC